TATTTTTTCTGAAGCAATCAAATATAACAAAAGGCCTTTAGCAATTGTTTGGAGGTTAATCCCCTCGAAGTGATCAAATTTATTTTTTCTTGTTAGTTTTCCCAATTCGCTTTTGATAGAACCCTGGGTGCTTATCATTCTAATAGAAAATGGATCATTTAAAACAAAAATGGTGCTAAAAGAATTTTGAATACTCATCCTAAAGCACCATTGATGTTCATCATGTAAAAGAACCATAAGAAGATAAATAACAAGTTTTAAAGATTGTTACAACATACAAGTAGAGAAGAAAAAATTAGAAGAGGGAGAGAGAGAGAGAGAGAGATGGTTTCTCACCACCAGAATGAAACTAGGCTCATTAAGCTCCCACATAAAATGCATATCGGAGAATCTAAAAGAATGAAGAGTTCTTTTTTTAAAAGGAAAACATTAGTTTCTCTAGAACACAAAGTATAAAAGTATTCAACCTATTGTACATCTATAGGTTAAACCAATACTTTAAAGTACTGTTTCGGATGAAGGATGGAAAAGATGGATGATAGAAAATTTGTTACTCAAAATTTAGCCAAAAAGCTGGTATGTGTCTGGAAGTCCAAAAAAATTGTCTATTTGCCTCAAGAATAACATGTACATCGAAGCAGGAAGAATGATAATGCTGTTTCCTGGAGATAAAATATTTTGATTTAAATCAGAAGCACATGCTAATAAACTGAACCCATGGTGTCGTACAGAGAATACAGGTTAAACAAAGAAAGCATGCGTGAAAATGTCCAAGTGCTGCCTATAAAAATCATAACTTATAATATAAACCTGGACAGGAAGCTCTACATAGAAATTGAACTCCTCTCCCCACATGGGGTTTCTTGAACCAGGGATCATTGAACTGCAACAACAACACAAGTAAATTCTTAAGAAATGTAAACATAATAGAGGTACATAAGATTATATTTCTTTTAAACAAAAAAAAGTGTTCTTATGCAGAAGCACAAAGCTATATTTCAGACAATATTAGTTCTCGAATACAGCATTGTGGAAATAAGTGTTATGCTTACAGTCAAATTATAAAATTTCATTATTTTAAAGTTTATACATGTATCACATACACGGTTATCCAGTTCATCAAAGAATAAATGATAGAAGAGTATCAATATCACAGACCTAAGATCAAGAGATCCAAACAACAAAATGAACTTTGTGCTTTCTTTAGTTATCAACCTTTAACCCTATCACTAGTTTTAATTCATATGAACTCTGTATCTTTGCCTTAAGCCAACAGATTTTACAAAAGCTTCAATGCACCACAGTTGAAATTTAATCTATCCAATACAAGATAGGAAACCCATAAATTTCATCAATCCACCTTTAACGAGGAGTGTGGAAAGTTGCCGAGATTAAATAGCTGTCAAGATAAGGAGTTTATGTTTATCATAAATTCTAGTTCTAAATTGCAATTTACTTGTACTTTTATGAGTATATTTATCATCTTAGAATATAAATAAGCTTTTTTAGGAAATAAAGGTTAGGGAAAAGATACCTAGTAGTACTTTACATCTTTAATTCTCAGCCTGTTTAAATCGGCTGTTTTTTTTAATCTTTTCAGCATGCAATTATCGAACAAGACCTATGTTCTTTCTTCTTCCTTGGAATATCTACACCAACATATAATGGTTAACCCCCCCCCCCAAATAGTTGTTATTTATAGCACAAACATCAAATAAAAAACACTTTTTTTCCTTAAAGAATAAAAAGTGCAACTATATATCTATAAAAATATTGAACAGACAAAAATTAAAGAGAAAATTAAAAAAAAAAACTCAAGATCAAGTAACTGGTTAGTTACAACTTTAAATGCTCCAAAGCCAAAAAAAACAGCCAAAGTACTAGGTGTGATGATGGTAATGACCATATTAGGGGGGGAGTTGTTATTATAATGTGAGAAATATTCTGCTATTCCCAGCTAGTGCATCTTCTGTTTCACTATTTGTCTAGCCTACTTACAATCCAAAGAAAATAAACAATATTTAGATGAAAAAAATATTGCTAAAAAGAGATGGAAATCATCATCGTCAGAAACTTGTAATGCAAAAAAAAACAACAACTTGAATCTCATTTCAGAACCACATGTAATGATAGCATAAGGATCTGATGTGCCATTCAAGTTTGCACCAATGAGATTCTTGGCTGCCAGCAATTCAACCTGGAAAAGTTAAAAAATACAAAAAGGCAAAAACAATCTCATTTTGAATTCATAACAAGCCTTGTTACATGACATTAAATCACAGAAGTACCTTGATTGTATAGGCAGCATTGGTTGGAAGATCTCCTTTGAACTGGACTATCTACAAAATAAGTGCACAACTGCATGTCAAAGAAGTGGAAAATTACTCCATGAAAAGAGCAGCACCCAACACTGTGAACTACAGTAAAATAAGATTCAAAATGTTTGTGTGTACTGATGGTACCAAGTTCAATAGCTATAGCAGTGTGTTAAAGGGACAAAATCAAAATTACACCTAAAATATTTACTTTTAACGGATGTATAGCATAAACCAAAAAGTGTATGATGCCAAGCAGAGAGGTTGTTTGGCCCTTCATCAGAGGAACATCAAGATCCCTATTCTTACATATTTTACCAACAATAAATAATAGACATCATAAAGAAGAAACTAAGTCATTTTCCGTGATGCAGGCATATAGTGTACCATTGTACTATTCAAGAAAAAATTGCCTAAAAGAATTCCACAAAGTACAAGACAAATGGGTATAAGATTAACGAAAAATTAATAAAAATAACCTTTCAAAAATGCGCACTCAATATATTCCATAATTGAATAAAAAGAGAAACCCAGAAAAGAAACTCACTTCTGAACTAAATAAAATAAAAATTATTTACTAGGAAAAATGATCACTGAATAAGGAACATGAAATGAGCTTCACTAAAAGAAACCAATAAGGTCTTAGAATTTAAATTAATAAGAAAAACTTGATTCTTATTAGTATTTGGAAAATCCATAAAACTTCACTGAGAATCAAAACTAACAAAATTGAGAAATGAGCAACTAAATTGACATTGAAAGTTACCCAACACTTTCCGAAAATTAAAATAGAAAAACGTAATTGTTACAGAGTGAATAGAAGATCCAGAAAAGATCAACCAAAATACACAGAAAAAAAAAGGCGACATTGCCTTCAGCCAACGTTACCGTCCATAAGAAAATGCATAAACAAATAAAATTCACAAAACTAAAACCATCAAAATTCATTGAAACAAAAAAAATCTTTAAAAGGAAAAGAAAAAGAAAATTGACCTTGTCTTTATCGTCAAGAATAATTTCAGCGGTAAAATTCTCCTGAAGCAGCGATCGATCACCGCCACCCCCACTTCCAACTTGGAATGTATAAATCCAATAAGAAATGATCAAGAACAGCGACGTGGCCACCGCCACTTTGACCTCCCACGAAGACGGCACCAGATATTCCACCACCAACGCCGCCTCAATCATCATTAATTAACTATTATCTCTATAAAATTATAGTAAATTAACAAAATAATTCCAATAAACATTTGGTTAAAATTTGAAAGGGTTTAATTTTAGGGTTCTTTGACTTGTAAAATAAACCATCTGTGGATTTGGGGGGTCAAAGAAGGAGGCCGTTGGAGGTTGAATGGCTTGGAAATGGACCGTTAATGAGTTTTAATGACTTAATACCCTTACTCTTCTCTGTAGTTGCATGCAATTTCTGCCTGTTTGTTTTGTGGTTTTGGTAGGTGGATTTGTAGGGTGGATTTGAAGATTTGCATGAAACGGATTGTTTGATGGCGATGTTATAACTTTGAATAACGGATTAGATAATAAATCCACAAAACTATATCTCAATTTTTTTTTATAAATTTGTAAAGGAATTATTGTTATTCCTTGATGTCACGGTTCAAACATCAGGAATGTCAAGAATTCGAGTGTTCAATATCAAAAAGTTGAAACAAAAATTCAGTCATTTAAGATCAAATAAGGATTATACAAGGAAAATGTTCCTGACAGTACCTCGAGAGATTAGTCTCCGGCGAAAGCCGGGGGATACCTTTGGGATACCAAAAAAAAAAAAAAAACTCAAACGAAAGATCGATACGACTAAATCTGATTGCATCGTCAAATGAATCATAATAGGATATCAAACTTTTTAAAGAACATCAATAACCACAAATCAGAGTCAAGTGTCGTGAGAACACATCTCTGAACGCAAACCGTCTATCTAAATCCAATATGAGGTCTAAAGCATAGAAGATCAACATGATAATAAATAAGCATCATCTTATCAGTCAATGTCATCAAATCCAACCATGACAAAATTAAATGAAAAAAACGACCAAAACGATCGAGAAAAAAATCGAAAACATACAAAAAAATAGAAAAAAATGTGTCATGAAGGTAGAGGAAATCGTGTCATAAAGATAGAACCATTGAGAACTAAAAAGTAAAGGAAATGCATAGAAGCTATACAAAAAATAAAAGAAAAATAAAGAATATCAACAATCAACACTGATATTGTCGTCAACCAATCAAAGAAGAAAAAAGAGGCGAGCCGTTGCACAAAGTTAATAGATAACTTTTAGGGTTTGTATGGATAGTTTTACGGTATAATCGGGTAATTTTCGGTTTGACCTAAAATGTTATACTTTTTAATAATATTTTCAAATGAGCCTATTTCCGCCGTTTTTAACCTTAAATTAGGTTATCTTTTTTTCTAGACTTTCTCGGGTTTGTATAGTTCTTTTAGGAGATAGTAGTTTGTTTACGTTGAATGTATAAATAATAAAGAGTACAACTCTGAAAAGATAAAAGTCAGCTGAACTTCCCTTTTATAGTCTTGGCTCATAATTTACATATGTTGGTCAAGCTTTGTAATTTAGGATTCAGATATCATTCATTCAATAAAATTAGTCTGTATGAAGGAGTGAAGAACACTCGTCAAATTAAAGATTCGATTTTACCAACAGAACAAAAACTTGAAACAACCAATTCATTAGTAAAGAGTCAAAGACAAGTAAAATTAAAATAACAATAGTTAAAAAGTGATTCTCAAACAAGGAACTAAGTGAAATAGCAAGCATTTTGGCATATCTGAAGTAAACTGAACACCATCTACCTGCAATAATAGCCTATGGAAAAAACCACCATATATGGTCTTCATAAGTTGTCACTTCTGCGAGTGATGGCATGAGTATTGTCGGCCTTCCTAGAACAGGCTATTAACACAAAAATGAAATGCATGAGGAGATCCCAGACCAGTTCGAAAGCCAAAATCGTTGCTTGTCCTCCATGAAAATAATATTGGTTTCATCTAGAAATCTTCGAATTCAAATCTCAAAGATAAGCCTGCTGAGATTAATGAGAATGGGAGAAAAGAAAATCTCATCAAGTGGCCATAACAGATCTCTTCTCATTTCAAGCCAATTGTGGTTGTTCTTTGAGATTTGAGCAACTTTCATTCATTTTGCGTATCCTCAACAGCTTTGTTGAATGAAGCAGCAAGGTACTCGGCCAGACTTTGTTGAGAGTTAAACTTGTTTGAAGAAGCCTCTGAAACTTTTGCCTTCTTTGGGTCAATGGATTTCGGAAGCCAGGAATTTGAAGTGCCCGGAGTACTCGAACTATCCATTCCAGCTTCTTGTCTTTTCCATGGAATAGGTTCTAAATGCTGCCAAGGATCTTCCAACATGGATTGATCAAAGTAACTCTCTGGCCCTAATATCCTGTTTGATGCTGAGCTACGACCACGAAAACCTTGTCCTCGTCCGACAATCCTTCCTAAACCAGGAGTGCTGCTCCCAGTGTATCCACGACTCCTGCCTCTTCCTGGACTGAAATAAGCACTACCTCCAGCTCCTTGATCAAGATTCGGCCTGTTACCAAACATTTGAGGCCTGGCTGTTCCATAGATGAAACTAGGGCTATCTCCTATAGAAAAGTAAGGGACGGGAAAATTACCATAAGTTGTTGTATTAGAAGGATTCCAGACCCTTTGAGAAGTTCCAGGATGCCTGGGAGGATTACTATACATTCCTCTCGGTGTTCCATCAGATACCAAGTTATAATGATCAGTGGCCTGTGATCCATTCCAAGCACCAGATTGGCCTGGATGCATGAGTGAAGGACTTCTTATTCTTGGGTTGTATGGACCATGATTGTATACACCTTGAGCAGATGAAAATTGGCTTTGCATCTGATGGACAGGCAAATCCCTATCGAAGTTCCTTGGTCCTGTCAAACCAGAATAGTAGGCCGATCAATTAGAAAAACAAAAAGGAATACCAACTCATGTTAATTGAAAAATTAGAGAAATTCCATACAAATAGTTTTAACCGATAACTCAATTCACAAATGATCAGCTTAGTAGTAGCACAAATCAAATATTATTGCATGCATCAATAATAATATCATGTTTACACAAACAAAAATAGTAGGAAAAAAAGTACCGGGATGGGATGGTGCGTGCCAACCACTGGTAGTTGGCGATGTAAACGATTGTTGCACAGTCTGGTTATGAATGTTGCCCCTCTTCTTGTTAGCAGAAAATGCTGCCATGGGGTCAGTATAGTAGTCGAAACGTGGAACTCCGCCAAAGTCATCCTGCATAGTCGATGGTGTCTCGATCAACGGATTCGAAAGGCAACCAGGCATTGCAGAAGTCTCGAGGTCATTAGACACTTGAGCTTCCATGCGCATTACTTTCAACCTTTCCTTTCTTTTCTCAGATTCCTCCATTTAACTAAAAGAGGGAACGTGCAAACTTCTTAAGAATGATACCAGCTAGCAAAATCTAAAAACAAATTCTGTTTTTTGCGCATAAGATTCAAAAGCTTTTGAAAGATGGATATAAGTTTCAACCTCTAGTTTTTAAGTTCACTTAATTATAAGGTAGTTTCAATTACCACTAAACCACTCAATGATTTCAAATTTTAAATATTACAAATGAGAATACTTCCACCTGCAAACCGTATTGTTCTCTTTCACTTTACAAAGGAGGAGGAGAGTAGATAACACAAACCGAACCATGACTCAAAAACGCATGAGTCGAGTACAAATCAATGTTCAAATAAAGTTTAGGGTTTCAAAGATTACCTTGTTGAATTTTCTGGTCTGTTGGAAACTTGAAGGCAAGAGAGGGGTTGGTTTATGGACCAGAGGAGGAGGAGGAGGAGGAGGAGGAGAGGGTCGGAGTGGGAATAAACAGGAGAAAAGAGAAGATGAATTCCGGGCACTGCTGTGGCGTATTTGGCGATGCCACTACTTGGGGGAATTTTAGAAAAACTTTTTTTTTCTCTATCTTATTCGGATAATACAGATTTTTTCATACAAGTTAAATTTATATCATTAGTATGATATATTTTAGGGTAAAATACTATATTCCTCATTAAATTATATTATCTCTCCTATTTTATTCACTGTATTTTTAATTTTTTAATTAACTCACTGAACTCTCAAATTATTTATGTTTTGATCACTCTGAATTATTTTATTATTATTTTTAATGATGTGACATTTTTTATTATTATTTAATATAAAATTATTGAAAATATAAAATAAAAATAGAAAGTGGTTAGACGACACAGTCGACTATGGTCGTTCAGTCTCAAATTTCATGGGTTTTGTTTATCTCGACCCCTGAGTTCAAATTTGGTGGTTTGTTTCACTGGAATACGTCCCAAAACCCATGAATCTTACCTGACACATTTCGGCTTCCTCACTTTCGATCTCTAATTCGTGGACTTCATAACAAGTTCTGGCAAAATGGAGGGCGGATTCAGACTCAGTGTCGAAATGAACAAGACCCATGAAATTTGAGACAAAACGACCACCATATATGGTGGTCGATGGTGGTCGACGATTATTTTCGACCATCTTCTATTTTTATTTAATATTAAATAATAAAAATGTCACATCATAAAAAATAATAAAATAATTCAGAGTGATCAAAACATGAGCAATTCGAAAGTTTAGTGTGTAAATTAGAAAAATTAAAAGTACAGTGAGTAAAATAGGAGAGAGAGTATAGTTCAGTGAGGAATTGTGTAATTTTGTAACCCCCAGACCGATAAGGGTAACCCAATCCGATCCGAGAAGTCACATTAGGGCCACCGGAACGACCCAACGTAAAGATGGCGGAAAATTTAAAACTTTTTATCAAAACATGTAACTCGTAAAATCATTTATCAATATTCAGAAATATGACAAATTTTCAAACTTGTATATAAAACAAAATACAATTACATGCCCCCTAATCACATGTACCATACTCTGTAATCAACACTGGAAGAACTCCCTTACTGATGTCGATAGCTGCACTGGTACAATTCTTTTAACCTGCAATATTGAGTAATAGAGTGAGCTTCGAAAAGCTCAGTAATACAGAACTACCAGATGATGCTGAAGAACGTGCAGATACAGATAAACATATATTTTCTTGTTGGTTCCGAACATCCATAGATTTTTATGCTGAACGAAGATCCTACTGATATTTCAGTCAGTAACGAACAATGAGTTTTTCGGTTCAGATGGAAATATTTCGGTTGTCTAGGTTCAGGAGATCAGAATAGATTTTCTAGTGTGTTCCCGTAAAACCAGTAAAAATATACAGATCTTTTAAAACATATATATATATATATACCCCCATCCGTTCACATCATAATTGTGTAGGTTCCCCAGAACCATACACCCAACCGCACATGCCATTTAGACCCTGAGCACAAAGCCGAGGAATCTGCAAATAATTTTCCTCCAACAATAAACCCCCAGATAAAACATTTCTCCGTCGGTAAACGGAGATATCAGAAATCAAAACATAATTCAGATCAGATATCAGAATAGAATCCAGGTTAGGAATCAGAACTGATTTCAGATCAGATGTCAAAACAGAATTCAAATAAGAAATCAGATAAAATATTCATATAAGTAGGGAACACACCAAAGTTTTCAGATATTATTTAGAGATAAAGGATAATCTTATCGGCTAGAGAAACACAAATCTTCAGTTTACCGATAGAATGCCGAAAATTAGAATTACTATTGGAAGAGTTCAATAACTGACAGAATCATCAGTTATTCAGAATATGACTTGAGCTGGTAAGGAAGAAATGAAAGTTCAGGACCTTTACAATCTATGTCGATTACTCGGTTTATCGAACAACTCCAGATAAATAGCTCCCATAACTAATATTTATCAACTTGTCAAATCATTAACCTTCCAGGGTATTTACACCTTAATACCACAAATTCTAGTCCATATATAATCTTCGGAATCATCGCTGAATAAATCTTCCAATGTCTTTATTTTATGTTCACGCTTCCACTATATCATGAAATGCTGACTGCTTGATTTGTAGTTCATGATCCATAAGGACAATACATCTTATAAACTCATCAGAATTTCCAGACTTATCCAATTCACTTACTTAATCCTCAGTCATTGAGGTTACTTATCTTATTTAGCAGTCAAGTCCATTTCAATTACTTTGGGATTTTCCAGAGTATTTCAGACGTTCCTGAATTTCAGATACATGTTGTACTTCCGTTCCATTCAATTTGGTCTTCGTGGTTGATTTGACAAACAAACGTCCAATTCTTAGTACTGAATGCGATCTAGAGTTGAGCTGAGTTGAATACTTCCAAAATTATCTTTGAGCCAAACTTGAGAAGACGAACACGCATTCAAGTAATATCTATGCTGTTCAGGTACTGACATATCATTAAGGTTGATCGACTCACTTAAGTTGTGTTCCATAACTTTTAAAGGTTGTCCAATACCTATGCTTATTTGTATTTCTTAATTAATCCAAGGCATTTACTTAGTATATGCCATAAGGGTATTTTGGTAATTTTGGTGTTCAGTTTTATTCCATTCATTTCAGAGCTCGAGGATATCCAATCATTCCTGAGCTTGGTGATATTCTTGGGTCATTTCCATTACATGGGTATTTTGGTCATTTTACAGATTCAGTGTATTTCAATCTTTTCCTTCCGTCCGATCTTACTATTAAATTCAATCTTATCATTTATTTCAGTCATTTCGAACAATTTTGACAACAGAACACCCCCGATAAATTGTTCTTCATGTATTTACTCATAACTTGGATATTTTCGGGTCAAGTGCCTTCTCAGATTTTACAAACGGAATAGCAGGAATTTTCTGCATTTAGACAAGATCTTAACAATCAAATCCGTACTTAATCGAGTTAAGTACGAATCCTCAAAGTACTTTCTCATTCAGGGTCAACTCAGACTATTTTATCTCTCAAGGGCATTTTCGTAATTTCTTAACCAAATAATTTCGATATTAGCTCTTAATAAAAATAATTATAATTTAAAGATCCTATGGTTAATTGCTTTCCCGAATATTCTCTGATCTTGAAATGATTCCTTAACAGACTTCTAGTATCTTGCATAAACTCTCTTCGGGTTAAAAATCGGTTATCTGCCTTTCCTAAGCAAAACTAACATTTCTTATGCCATCAGTAATTTTACCGGATCAATATGTCTTTTTTAGAGTTATTAACCAACTTCCAGGGACAATTCTTGTCATCTTACAACATAAGGGTAATTTCATAATTTTACCCAACCAGAGTATTCTCCTAATTTCTCATCCAAGTACCTTTAATATTTAACATTTGTTGATTTAAAATATAAATTACAAATCCAATGCCGATTTCTTTATCACTAATCACAAAAATTGTAATTTAATTCTAACAATTCCTCAATCTCTTATATTAATCATTCGATCCGTATTCATTTACCGAATTTCTACCACATTCATATCGAGTGTATAAATTATTCAGTTACCTACTTTCTACCGTATTCGTATCTAGTGTAATTCTTCATTAATTACACATATGAGACCATACATTTCCATTCATGCATTTACCAATACAAACATGTTCTATAAAGCATAAAGAGGTAGTAAAGTATTACATCGATTTTCGTGCAATAATGATCTACCATAAAAATTCCATTCGAATGCCTTTGATCTTCAATTCAACCTCCAATAATTCCTCAAATACATATCAACATAAATTATATCAGAAACGGAGCTTAATTGCAATAAACGGATCGAATCGGGTGATAAATTAGTGAAAAACAGCTTACCGACTTTCGAATTTGGCGAAACGGACTTCGGATTCGGATTCAAGACGTTGAAAGCATAAAATATGACTTTTCAGAAATTTGGAATTTTCGGTCAAAATCAAAGTCAACGGGTTTGACCGGTAATTTCGAGGCATTTGGGTTCGAATTTCGAAATACGGACAGCGGAATCGGATTTGAAACGTCGAAAACTATCAAGATAGGTATACTCGGTCGAAGTCAAAGGTCGTTTAATGCCCGGTCAAAGCTGGTCAAAGTTTTGGTCAATTGTGGTCAACGCCGGTCAATGGTCAACGGTCAACAGTCGACCATTTTACACAAAGATCACCCTAACAGAAATTAATTACTAAATTAGTCACATTCTGCAAATATTTACCAAAATAGCACCTTTCTAACTATTTACCAGAATAGCACCAAAACCGAATTATTTACCAGAATAGCACAAAAACCGAATTATTTACCAGAATAGCACCAAAATCGAATTATTTACCAGAATAGCACGAAAACCGAATTATTTCCCAAAATATCACCATTTTCGAATTATTTCCGTACGACGGTTTCCGGGGTCCTAAAAATCACGGAAAAATTTCTAAAAATTATTTTAAGCGGTTTCGAGATACTTACAAAGCTCGGTTCAAATTTTTGAACGGCGGAGAGCTCGATTCCGAAACGTCGAAAACTTTGACTTTCGCACTCCTCCACTCGCCGGCGACGAAGGAGAAACGGAAAACACCGGCGGACTCGGAACGATGCAAGGAACATGATGGTGCGGGAGGTGTCGTAAACGGATCATCGGATCGTCGTGAATCAACGAAAAACCAATTGAAATCGAGTTATTACCGACGATACTTTCGACAGAAATTAACGACGAACGACGACGATTCACGATGAACGGTTTGAGGGGTTTTGTTCCTCGGTTGACAACGAACACGGTGGTGGTTTCGGCTCGTCGATCGGAGGTCGGACGTCGAGTAGATCGGAGTTGAAAGGAGGGTAGTTGGAGAGGAAAATCTGGAAAATTTTCCAGAAAACATACGGGAATGGGGATTTATAACATCTCATAATTAAAAATGGCTAAACCAAGAGTTTAGCCAGTGAACTTCCTGCACTTCATAAAATGGTCTGCCAACTTTAAAAATTTACAATTTAATCCACTGTTTCTTTCAAAATACCAAATTAAATCCACC